GTACCACTTCTGACTCAGTGAGCCAGAACTGGTACTAACTAACTACTCTTGTATCCAATGGAACTCTAATAATTTTCGAAGAGCTGGCAGGTATTATGTCTTCGTATAAATTAACATTACGCGAGTTATATAATTTTATGGGATTACATGCTGAATGCGTTACTAATTGTCCCTCTTTTAAATCTATACGGGCCTCCCATTTACTTAATAAATCCAAACCTATAAGGCCGTCAAAATAGTCATGAAAGCGATATACAAAGAATTTCACTTTATCGGAATCATTAAATTCAGAAAAACAAGGTAACGTTATAGAATAATTATTACGACTTATCGCGTGTATGTTTGTTACTTCGAACGGGTCAAATTAAGTGGGAAATCGCTGAAAAATTTTCCTACAGCTTCAGGGCTAATAATTTTTTTTAATAATGAATTAATAATTAATTCTATTTTTACCTTTTTAGGTTTTCGTTTTACTTTTTTTTTTATTATTATCCGACGTTTCGGTGCTTTCTGTTCGGTATTTTTTTTTTTTATAGTCGAATCGTCCTGAAAATCCTGATTGGAGTGCTTAGATTCTACTTGTGATTGATTTTGAATATAATAATTATTATCTTGGTTTTCGTCAGTCTGGTCATAATAAGAAAAATCAGAAGCGAAATCCGGAGCATAAGCATTGTTAAAGTCGGTATAGTCGGTGTAGTATGCGTACTCGTATTCAGGGTTATACTCGTAATATGAATCGTTATACGCAGCGCATTCGTTTGTATTCATTTCGCGGGATTTAAAATAATTTGTTGGTGGCGGATTGCCAAATTTATTTCAGTCATGTCCTGTCAACATTTTTGTGTGTGGTAAAGCCTTGGGAATAAAACGCTGGACTCCACTCATGGGCTGAGGTTGTGGAGGGTTATTTCTGGGTGGTAACCGGAACACGTTACTACGCTGGTTGTAGTTAGGAGGGGGTGCACCGAACATGCGCTGGGTATTAGTTGGCATGCGCTGTTGGTGTGGTACGGGTTGAGGAAATCTGAACGGCTGAGGTGGGGGTCTGTAAGGTTTTTGCCCAACAGGAACTGACCAATTAGGTACTAGAATTAGGAAAGGTTGATGTTGAGGAATGGAAGGTGGTGTGGATAGTGGAATGAACTTGGGGGAATGTTGACTTTTTATGGAGTCATTGCGCTGTTGGAGATATATAATGTTTAATTCCTCCTGTACATATTCTAAGGCTTTCTCTATTGTCGACGGTCGCTAGCAACGTATACGAGATCCTAAAGGTTCCTTTAAGTCGCGGACATATGCTTGCATTGCGACTTTCCTATAAAGGTCCCGTTTGGCATTGATGGTGGTCGGTATGGTCTCATGTAAAGATACGTAAGTCATTATCGTGCTTATCAAAGTTTGGCAATGTTCGTAAAATTCTTGCGGAGTTCTATTGCCTTGCGAAGCTAAGGAGAGGTCGTTACATAAAGCCGTTTCATCCCGCTGGTCGGAAAAGTTATTTATTAGTGGCGTCCTAATACCTAACCAATTTTCAGGAATGCCATTAGAGTTTATAGTGCAGGCAGTGGTTCCTGTTATTTTGTTAAGAATACCGTTCAAAAGACATAAATTAGAAAATTCACTATCGGTCGCATTGCTTAGATACTGCGATACTAGTCTGTCACATATTTTTATGAATCTAGTTATAACGTTAGGGTTCCCATCAAACTCCGGGACGAGGCGTAAAGCCTTAAAAATTGTGTCCGGGTCATGGGCCATCTCTGTTAAATAAGTATTATTTAATTCTAATTCTAAATCTAAATCGGTTTGCCTATTATTATTTAATATATGACGGCGAGCCTGTCGAGATTCAGGCTCCCGAGAACGAGTTACTCTAGGATGATAAATCTTGAAAGGAAAGATTTAAAACTTAGGGATAAGGGAGAGCAACACGAGATTAATTCAAGTGTACTCACGTGGATTTCATCTGGTTTCTCTCGATGAATCGAAGGCTGGATTCTCCTCCTGGTCTGCAGCTGGTCCGTAGATCCGGATATTCCCTAACTATTGCAAAACTACCCCTGAGTATCCTACCGCCCGCGCCAATTACGTTAGCTGAGGCCGGAGGTTCGAAAAAAAAAACAAATTTACTTATAAAATATATTTAAAATAATATTACAAATTATGTTACAATAGCTAATTAATCTAACAGAATGAGCGCGGTGTAACTGAGTACGTGATATTTTATACATCCGGCACGTGGCTTGAATTGCTGCGCCTGCATTCCTGTCGGTTTACATGGCAACTGTTCTAGGTACGTAGTCAGCGATCGTCATATCATAGGTATATGTAACTCGATGTAAATAAATAACTTATGGATAAACTGATATCGGATACTGATTGCGCATGTGAAAATCTACAAATTTACATTGTTTAATTATTCTTTTACCATCATTTTTAAGCAAAAAATATAAATTTATTATTTCACAGCACCCGCCTTATATTTTTTAAATAATTAGTACCGATAAACATCATTTTTTACGCGCAATCGATTTATACTGGTCTCATTTTTAATAATTATTTCCGAGTGCCAACTTCATGGACCTAGTATACTGTTGCGCGCCATAATTAACTCGCGGTATATGGCGGGTGATTATAAGCGCCATCTAGTATCAAGTAGTGGAAATAGGAGTTCAAGATCTTGGTAGAACTTTCCCAATAGCGCCATCTAGTGTTGAGTGGCGAGGGCTTTCTGGAGGATTCTTTGCTGGAACTTAATTTAGCAGTTTATGAAATATAATAGACACTTTCCCATACAAAGTACAGCCAGAACAAATGCAATTAGTTGACGAAGAATATAGAACACTGAAACTTGTATCGCGAAGTAATTTATTACAATCTTCGCGTACTGGCTCACCCCTTTCTTGTGAACAATTTTGGATAGAGGTTTGGAAAATTTCTAACAGTGATGGTACATTAAAATACAAGGATATCTGTAGTTTCAGTACGTATGCTGCACGTGGGCACATATTTTCACAGAAAAATTTTATAAAAACGGAACAAAGAAACAGATTTATAAACAAAAATGTATCCGCAATTTTAAAAACAAATTAGGGTGTAAAAAATGAAGGCGGTTGTATCAATTTTCATCCCTCAAATAGAATGTTAAAATACAATTCTAAGATTTATTGTGATGATGACTGAATAAAACATATTTTGAAATTCAGCATTTTTATTGTTATTTTTTCCCTGAGCAAGTTGGTATATTTCGGTATCTTTTAAAGGTACTTCGGTTTTTCTGTAGAATTAATCTGGTCACAGATTCTCAGTCTACGATACTATATACTATATACGGAAATAGTAGCGCTTCGACCATAGTTGCGGAAGATTGCGCCGCTCGTTGATCCAGGACAAAATTACGAAGGTGTGAATCCCCTGGTTTTGTTTCGCTAGGTCGTTGGTTACCTTGACCACGTTTATAAATGTAATTTGAGTTTTAAGGATTTGTTGTCGGGTGTTAATGGAAGAGCTTTAATGATCATTATTTATTTATTTCATTGTTATTATTTTAAGCGTATTGTTTTTATCAGAATCGATAAACCACCCTATTCCCTTGGTATTTGCATAGGGTTATCGAAATTCATGATGAAAAATCAAAAACTTTCTAATTTACTATGAAAAAAAGAAAATGTTTGTATTATTTCTTACACATAAATTTATTTTACGAGTGACATGATGTTTCGTGGTCACTTGAAAGAGAAGGCCGAATTAGCATCTAAAAATGCTTGGCGTGCTCAGCAGAGCGGAACAATTTTTTATACCGGCACATCGCTTGCAACTTTACAAGGCGCAGGTTTCAACCGCACGTGGAATACTGTTCCCATCTCTGGGCTGGGGCTCCTCAGCTCCTTCCATTTGATCACATTCAGCGCAGAACCATTCGAGTTTTCGACGACCGAGCTTTTTCCGATCGGCTTGACTACGTTAGTACTCTTATTAGTTTGCGGGCTTGACTCACTGGCACTGTGAAGAGATTTTGCATCTCTTTGCTATCGTAATCACTTACCATCAGGTGAGCCGTATGCTCGTTTGCCCCCACTCCTATAAATACCATCTTATCGATTAAAAATAATTTATTATTATTAGTTCGCGCGACTTGCATGCGTGCTATTTGAGAGCGTTAACTATTTATATGAATATCTTAATTTCTTTGTTTGTCTCGCAAAAAAGCCCAAAAAGAGCCAATTTCTGCAATCAAAAGACTGTTTAGTACTATCTACATATAAGTATAGACCTACTGTAAAATTATAATAAAATTTGATTTCTTATATATCTTGTTTCAATTTGGATTCCATTGTAGTCTTTTATTGATTCTACTGGGCAAAAAAATTTAAATGCTATATTGTGGGTACCATCCAGCCAAAAGTCATACCTGTTCGTTAAATGTGTTTATAATTAAGTTAAATTTTGTGTTACATTGTTACTTATAAAAATTTGTATAAATAAAATTCGCCAAGGGAATATCTGAATATGCCGAATCTCAGGATTCACTCTAATAAATATTGTTGCGCGCCATAGTTGATGCCGGTAAATGCCACTAGAGCCATTTAGTATCGAGTGGAAGTACTAGGAGAGAACTTCCTACACTTGGTTGGGACCAGTATGTGCTCGAACATTCGGGATGTTTCAGTGAAAAACGTCAAATTGATGTGGTTGTTTGTACAAGTGCTGTTGATGATTTGGTACCAATAAATTAAAATAGTGTGTTACACGTTATAAAAGTACAATCAAGACATGAGGCAGGCTAAAGAAGTTTAGTGCTAGTGTTTTCTCACTGTAATTATAAACATAAAGTGCAAAACTTTGAAAAAAATTATTCCCGTGAATTACGAACTTTTAAAATTTACCTTCATAATTTTATTTTTCTTTTACATATAATTTCCGGTTCTGTCAATGAAAGCGAACTATAGACAATAGTGTTGCCATTACAAAAAAAAATTCTACTAAATCAGTAAAAAATGAGTCCAAAAAGCTTTAAATGTTCTAAATGTAGCAAAACCGCGAATGATAAGAAGCTATCAGTAAATTGTGACTCCTGCAAGATCATTTTATGTGGTGACTGTCATGGAATGACACCAACTGAAGTAAGAGTGTTCGAGTTAAAGACAATAGCTCGAGTGGTTTCTTTCTTATGTGTCGATTGTAAGTCACTAATGGCACAAATACCAAATATAATGAAACAACTGGAGGACCTTCCTAAAGAAGTACACCATTTGCGATTACGTCAAAACATGCTTGTAACTGAAGGAGCAATACAAGAATTGGCTGAGCGCACTAAGAGAGCTAACAATATAATAATTTACGACGTACCAGAATCAACCTCGGATAAACCTTTATAAAGGCATGATAAAGAGGAGTGCAGGAAAATAATAACTTGTGTGAGCAAAAAAGTGAGCTGTGATAATGTGAAACTATTTCGTCTTGGTGCACGTAATTCTCAATCTGGGGCTCCTCCTCGTCCCATTAAAGTGGTAATGAAGTCTCAAGAATGATGCCATTGAGATACTTCGTTACAAAACTAAACTGGATAAACCGTCAATTATTAAATCAGACCAAAGTGCCATGCAACGCGAGTACTTGAAATACCTCTGTAATGAATTAGAGAAACGTACTAATAATGGAGAACAAGGCTTGACTATCAAGTATATACAAGGGCAGCCTAAAATTAACACTGTAAACAGGAGATAAAAAACTAGTCCAAATTCACCAACCCTCACTAGTAAATCTTTTTAACAAAAAAACGCGATCTTCGATACCTTCCGCACACTTAACAATAACAATCTTATATACAAACAAAAAGAGTTGATCAACTAAAACCATCAATTATAGTCCTCTCAGAAACATGGCTAAAACCAAATATACCTGACTTACTGATAAAAATACCGGGTTACGACTTATACAGAGACGATCGTACTGATAAACGAAGTGGAGGAGTCGCTATTTATGTATTGAACAATATTACATATGACATCAAAGTGAAATAGTCAGTATAATACGAAGTATGACTCTTGGGAATGTTTATGGGTTGACATTGAAGTAGGTTCTCAAAGAATACTGTTATGTGGACTATATAGAGGGCACGAATCAACTATCGCTCATGACAACATGTTTTTACAAAGTTTAGAACTGGCTTCCCAATCAAACACAGTAATAATAATGGGTGACTTTAACTTTGGTGGTGTCAAGTGGCCACTTTCAAATTGTGTGTATCTACTGCCAAAAGAAACCAATTTCTTGCAATGGTATAACAACAACAATCTATATCAATTTGTAGATCACTATACGAGGTTTCGCCAGGGTCACCAGCCATCTACTTTAGATCTAATCTTGACAAATGATGAGTCTTTGATAGTTGGAATCAATTATGAGGCCGCAATTAGGAAAAGCGATCATGCTTGCTTAGTATCGACTATACAGTTACAAACACAACAGAATAGGCAGCAATCTAAACCTAAAAAGAATTTTAATAAAGGAGATTACAACAAAATCAAAGAAGAAATTCACTCCGGTTTAAAAAAAAGGCATTCGACTCGGTGCCCCATACATAGCTAAAGAGGGTCCTCGAGCTGTACAAGATTGACTGTACAGTTAGAGACTTCCTCGAGCAGTGTATGGGGCAGTGGATTACGATCCTTTGTCATCTGGGCGAGCGGATGATGGCTGCGGAAAGCCACATAAGGATAAGAAGGGGTATCTTTCAGGGTGATTGTCTGAGTCCAATCTGGTTCTGCCTCTCTTTGAACCCCCTCAGTACTTTACTGGAGGGCTCCGGGAGGGGTTTTCAGCATTGGAAAGGAGGTACAAAAGTGACCCACCTTTTTTATATGGATGACCTCATGTTATTCGCCTCCAGTCGCTCCCATCTTGTGGAATTGCTAAACATCACTTGAATGAAGCTGAAATCATTTGAATGGAGCTGGGGACGGATAAGTGTGCGGTCCTCCATGTTGAAAGGGGAAGGGTTGCCAACTCTGAGGGTATAGACTTATCTATGCTCATCAGTTCAAGGACCCTTTCCGAGGCTGAAACATACCGATACCTGGGTGTGTCACAGAACATCGGTATCGATGAGGCTGGTATGAAACAGTCAGTTTGCGACGTGTTTTATGCACGCTTGACGAAAGTGCTCAACAGCTTTTTGTCTGGTGTGAATAAGACACACGCATATAACGGTTGGGTCATGCCTGTCCTCATGTATACCTTTGGCATACTCAGGTGGACTCAGACTGAACTTAACGCCCTGGATAGAAAAGTCCGCACTACTATGTCCCATAGGATGCATCATCCGAGATCGTCGGTAATGAGGCTGTACTTGCCGCGAACGTGCAGCCTCCGTAATTACTTCCTGGCGACATCGGATGATCCATTCTATAAGGACGTCATTTTTTGTGAAAAAGGACTTACCCCTCTATCCTTAGCCAACGAGCAATGGCAAGACCCGGCAGTGCAGAGCATTTCTGACCGGGAGACCGTATGGAAGGAGAAGGAGCTCCACGGGAGGTTCTACAAGGCTCTACACGAGCCTTTCGTGGACACAGTAGCCTCCCTCCACTGGCTACGCTTTGGTGACCTCTTCGGGGAAACCGAAGGTTTTGTCTGTGCAATACAGGATCAGGTTATTAAGACCAACAACTATCGGAGATACATCCTAAAGGATGGTACCATCGACGTCTGTCGACGTTGTCGCCATGCCGGTGATTCACTTAGGTATGTCATCTCCGGTTGTTCGGCGCATTCTAGCTCTGAGTATTTGCACAGGCACAACCTAGTAGCCAGAATTCTTCACCAGGAGCTCGCTCTGAAATACGGTCTCGTGGATCGGAAATTGCCGTATTACAAGTACTTGCCGGAGGCCGTGCTCGAAAATGATCCCACCAGGCTCTACTGGGACCAGGTCATCATCACAGACAGGGCTATTCTTGCGAATAAGCCTGATATTGTGCTGATGGACCTGGCACAGGACCATTCCGTATGACGAGAACCTCGTGAAAGCCGAAACAGATAAATGAATAAAATATCTGGACCTGGTTCACAAGGTGACCGACATGTGGGGTGGTCTGCCGACTGAAATTATTCCTGTAGTCGTTTCTGCAAACGGGCTAATCCCAGTCAGCCTCTCGGGTCATCTGAGGAGGCTGGGACTCCATGATGGACCGCTCCAGGCTAAAATGCAGAAGGCGGTTCTCCTCGCTACCGCCAGCATCGTCCGCCGGTTTCAATCCCTTTCCCCCTAACCCTCGGCCGTTTGGTCTCACCTGCCCAGGGCCTCCATCTGGTTGGGCTTTTATTTATTTATGTATTATTTATTTATTTGTCCTTTCCTTTGTCCTTTTGTATATTTATTCAGCCCAACCAGATGAGAATACACTACTAATACCCAAAAATAATAATAATAATAAAAGGTCCTATATATAGGCGTTAAGGACCGCGACCGAGGCAGTATTGAATTTGCGACATAAGCGGAGCGAAATAAAGTAAACTAAAGTGTTTAATTATTGTGTGTTTTAAGTTTCAATTGTTGTTGGAAAATTAAAGTGTCAATTTCGGTAATTCAATCGGCAGTTTTTATTGTCACTGTTTAATGAAACACTCACACTTTATCACTATGTTTTACTCACACACCACTACACTGTATTATAGGAACACACAAAGAGGTTAAGAATGTTTAACTATATATCATAATGAAAACCCAAATGATACCACGTTTTTATCTGCGATAGTGCCATCTAGGGAGAACAGGAAGAACTATATTTACTTACAAAGTTTGTTAGCTAAACATTCCGCCGCCCAAGGACGATTACAGTCCTTAAAAAAATGAACATAAAACAAAACAAACGAATAAAGCAATCCAAGTTCTTATAACTAGTCGGAATCATTCAGGGGCAGAGGGCACAATTTTGCGACAGGCCTCTTAAAAATATTATCCTTATATTGTAAAGACACAACTCTTGTGACGCCATCTGCACCTGAGTGCTTCTGAATGATTCGTCCCAAAAGCCACTTTCCAGGAGGAAGTCTATCATCTTTTACCAACACGATAGTACCAATAGCAAGATCTGGCTGACTCTTGTTCCATTTATAACGATGTTGCAACGTTGTCAGATACTCATTTTGCCATCGTTGCCACAAAAACTGCACCATACGTTGAATAATATGCCACCGATGTAAAGGGCTGACTTTAAGATCAATTAAAGGTGGTTCTGGTACACCAATTAACGGTTCCCCAACCAGAAAGTGCCCAGGCGTTAAGGGAGGTTCATCAAGTGTAGAATTTACTACGGTAAGTGGACGAGAGTTGACACAAGCTTCGACTTGAGTTAAAAGAGTAGAGAACTCTTCGTAGGTCAGTAAAGTTTGTCCAATTACGCGTTTCAAGTGTCCTTTAACGCTCTTTACTCCAGATTCCCAAAGTCCTCCGAAGTGAGGTGCGCTAGGGGGTATAAAATTCCAGTGAGTTTGGTCATTAGCTAGTTGTTCAGCAATTTCAGAAATAATTGCAGATTTTGCATCTCTAAAGGCAAGATCTAGTTCACGGGCTGCGCCCACAAAATTTGTACCATGATCACTCCAAATTTCCTTGCAGTGACCACGGCGAGCAGTGAAGCGTCGAAAAGCAGCTATGAACGCAGCTGAAGTGAGATCAGTTACCAATTCTAGATGAATGGCTTTTGTGACGGTGTACACAAATAAGCAAACATAAACTTTACAGGTTTTTCTACATCTACCAGGGTACATTTTCATTGTAAAGGGTCCAGCGAAATCGACTCCACTTATCAAAAATGGACGACTTGGTTTAACACGAAATTTAGGGAGATTTGCCATAAATGGTACAGAAGGATTAGCCCTTATTTTAAAACATGGTATACATTTAGTGAGGACAGTTTTAACAATACTTTTGACTCTAATAATCCAAAATTTTTGTCTTATAAAGTTCAAAGTAAGTTGATGCCCTCCATGCAGAGTTTTCAAATGAGCGTTCGAAATAATAAGTTTAGAAAGACCACAATCGTTACTCAAAATAATAGGTTTTTTCATAGTATCTGAAATCTCTGCATTGGCAAGTCGACCACCCACATGAATAATGCCTTTGTCATCTAGATATGGGTTAAGAACATGTAGTTTGCTCGATTGGTGAACTCGCTTACCATGTGCCAATCGAGAAATTTCATCACTGAACGAAAGGGATTGAGACATCTTAATACATCTATTTAGAGCATCGTCAAGCTCATCTGGGCTCAGATAAACGGGTTCATCAACTAGTATCCTATATATTTTAAGTTTACACAGTTTAATAAAACGTAAACAATAAGCAGTGACACGTATCAGTTTCGAAAGTGTC